TTATATTTTTGAAATGAAACTTTGCTTTATAAAAAAATACAAATTTCTTATAAAAAAAATTTTTAAACGACTTTTTCCCCTTTTTATTAATCAACCAAGGAAAATAATATGATACTGATATATACGGATAATTGAAAAGGAGAGAAAAATATCAAGATATAATCAAGTTTATTAAATGAAAAAAAGAACTCGAATAGAAGTAGTTAATCAAGAAAGGAGGTGGATTCAATATACACTGAAAAAAGGGTTTGGTATTAACAACCAAACGTTTGGTTGGTATTTAAGCAACCAAAATTGTTTTGTTGAATCAACAAAATTTTGGTTGTCCCAATCAAACTTTAGTTAGGACAACAAAAATCCTTTTTTTCTAATTTTGGTTGTGTCAAACAAATTTTGATTGAGACAATTAAAATTTTGTTGATTTAACAAAAAAATTTTGGTTGCTTAAATACCAACCAAACGTTTGGTTGTCAATACCAAACCCTTTTTTCAGTGTATCAGGGTCCAGAACTCGTACTTTAAATATAATTTTTTAAAATTATTTTTATTATTATTATTATTATTATTTTCGAGTCAAGTGTGTTAAACGATCCATCAGATGAAACACTTTGTATGAGGTAAAAATTTCCATAAGTGCTCGAGGGTTTATTTTGTATATATATATATATATATACCAATAGATATACCCGTATATTGCATCCCTGTGTGTGTTTACGCCCCTGATTGCACTGATAAGAGAAAAGAAACGTATGCAGGGCTAGAGTTCGCGAAGAGATCGCAGCTGGAGATTTGCTCGTGAGATAAGAAAATACGTACACGCCAACTGGACAAACTGTTCGAACCGAGGAAGCGAAGCGCGACTGACGTAATTTAAATTCCAAGGATCCTGCCGAGTTACTTTTCAAACCATAAAAGTTATAATACCATAATGCGCCCAGAATTCAATTAACGGCCCAACTAACTTTCAAATCAAAAAAAAAAAAAACATTCTAATTCCACTTCGAAAAATAATTTCATTTTTTATTTATAATTTTATTAATTTCTTTTTCTTGCCTTATATATAATTTTTCCATTAATTTATTATATTTAAATATTAATATTATAAATATTAATAAAATTTTCGACGTTTTTATTATTTCAATGCGTGGGAAGTGTTTTTTTTTTCTTTTTTTCCTGTGGCTCACACAAAGTGGAGTGTACACTTTTATTTTGCATTTGATGAGCCTCAAGTTAAGGGATCTCTATATACGATGGCGAATATAAAAAATTGGTGTACACTCCATGATATGTTTCCCCCCCTTATTTCTAACCGTTCGCAATTTAAATTCCGTGTAAACCGCCTTGTCCTTTTAACTGGGTTATGATACGATCGTTTTCTCGATAGTCATAAAAAGATACACGATCGACTTTCGCGAGATATATACACACAATCTGCTTTATAACGAGTTTTGATGTCCAGACAGTTGGTACACACACTGCACTGGTTGAAAACCGGATAGTCGAGACGTTCAATGAAAAGAATCGAGGGCTAAAGAGATCTTCTTGCTCCATTTATATAAATATATGAAAGCGAAAAATATAAAAATCAACGAAAAATCATCATGGGGGGAGGGGGGGGGGGCAAAAAAATTTATTCGCTTTTATATTTACAAAAGTTTCATTTTAAAAGAAATGAATCTTTTTCAATAATCAAAAGAAGTTTAGATAAAAAGAAAACTATCAATAAATTGATCGACGTGATTGAAATATTTTTCATTACCAAGAAGAAATAATAATTTTTACTAATGGTTGAAATTTTAAAAATTAAAATAAATTCACTTTTATTTATTGTAAATTAAATTATTAAAAAGTAAATTTTTATTTTGAAAATATTTCCAAAAATAATTAATTTAATTATTTTAATTAATAATTAATAAAATAATTTAATAATCATTCAATGAAATATAAATTATTATTACTAAAAGTAATTATGATAATCTGAAGGATAATAAACTACACCGAAGAAAAAATCCTCTTGTTTCAAGAGGATTCCTCTTATTTCAATGCATATTTTCCTCTAGTATATGCTGCAAAAGGATGTCCTCTAGGTTTAAGAGGATTGTCCTCTATGTAAAATTATTCCTCTTAATTTAAGAGGATACTCTTATTTTAAGAGGATAATATTATCTTAAAAAGAACTCTGAAATAATAAAAATGTAATCATCTAATTTGTATGTCATAGATATAATCTATAAAAATTAAAAGGAATAAAATTTGTTATTCCATGATTTACATCTATTTGAGTATAAATAAATTGAAATTGATTTTAATTTTTTTGAATAAATCAACTAAATCTATTTTTAATAATATTTTTATGCGCAAAACATATAATTTATTAAATTTGAAAATTTATTTTAAATCAATTTTCAAATAAAATTAAAATAAATAAAAATTGTAATAAAATAAATTTTTAAATAGCATAACCTCAAAATTATTTAAATTTTCTTAAAAAATTTCTTTTAAAAATTTCTTTTACCTACAACTAAAACTTTTTCACGTATGATATGCGATTTATGACGCGACGTAAATGATATGACGCAATCATCTTTGCGCATGAGCGACTTTCTATGGGAAATCCTCTTAGAATTTAGAGGAATATTCTTAAACATAGAAGATTATTCTAAATTCTAAGAGTATTATTTTTATTCTAAAAATATTATTCTGAATATAAGAGGAATGCTCTAGAATAGTCCTTTTGTTTCGATCCTCTTGAAATTAGAGGAAAATATTCTCATTTAAAGAGTAATACTCTTGTTTTAAGAATAAAATTCAAGAGGATTCTGTAAGAGGAATTTTCCTCTAAATACAAGAATATTTTTTTTTCGGTGTATCTATAAGAATAATAGTAATAATAATAATAATAAATTGCAATAATAATAATTATTATTAGAAGTATATTTATTATAATAAAAAAATTATTTGTAATAATAATAATAATAGAAAATAAATAAAAAATATAAAAAGTAATATGAAAATGGTAAAAAGTAAAATAAAAGAAAATAAGGTTGTAATACTGTTGTAGGTACAAAATGTTTGTCTTTTAAATGAAATAAAGAATAAAGGGGATGCGATCGTGACAGTGCCAAGGATGATAAAATCGCGTTTTCTCTCTCTCTCTCACTCTCTCTTTTTCGCTTGCTACCGACGACCGATCCGGCCTGAACGAATGATTAAATCACGATGATATCTCGCAATGTACCTCGTAAACATACAGCCACGAATTTATGATTACCTTTACAAACGAAAGACCTCCCTGTGACATTCAGAGAGAACATCTTCTCTCTTTCATTAAATGAACAGAAAACGCGGACATTATCTTTTCGCGCGCGAACAAAAATATCATTTTTCATATAATGTCATACATATAAAAATTATTTTATTTATAAATTTCTTTCTTTATTTTATTTTTTTTTTCTATTCGTGCTAGGAAATTTTCTTTTTGATCGAAAAACTAATTTTTGCTCCTAAAAAAAAATATCCATTTAGAAACTTATGAGCGATATTAAAAAAAAAAATCGAGTAATTTCGCGTGTAATGAACGACGTAAAAAAGGCGATCAAATAAAAAACTAAATTATATAATTACAAGGTAACGATCATTCATTTTGCGCGTGATATAGATGACTTTTAATTTGAGACTGAGCCAATTTTTTTTTTTATCTTTTAATTTTGGTTGCTAACGTAATTTTTTTTCGCAATAATTAATGTCTCTCTCTCTCTCTCGTGAAGTCGATTTGCCGTAAAGCATGAGGCTTCAAAATTAAAGAGTGGAAACCAGTAAAACCGCACGTAGTTGCGCGAGGCTATTGCGGAAAATAGTGATTTCACGGATGGACTCGATGAGAAACCGTGACAAAAAAAAAATAAAATAAACTATAGTATGAGCTTTGTAGTACACTAAAAGGACAGATTGCAAAAAGAGAGAAAAAAAAACGAAATTCTTTGAAAGAACACACAAGTGGCAACAACAATCAGCAATTTTGCTAATTTTCGCTGAAGAATTTTTTTTTAGAGAGAATTTAACGTTTATTTAGACGAGAAATATTTATTTGAATCAAATAAATTTTATTTAAAATAACCAAAATTTTGGTTAAATAAAAAAAAACTAAAAATTATTTTCTTGGTGAAAGAATATAATTTTTATAATTAAAGAGTTAAATAAATAAATAAAAAAAAAAATTCTAAATAGTTTTAAAAAATGATAAAAATTTTGAAAAAAAAAATGATATGCGATATAAAATAATATGTTTTGAAATAAATATATACCAAATATAGTTTAAGTTCCCTATCTTCTTTTCCCTTCATCACCGCCTTTCCTGTCTCTTTAAAGAACACAGGTGAGGTTGTTTCGCAGATGCATAAATTCGATAAGACCTCCCCGGTAGAAATGCAATGAGCTACTTACTTCAATAACAAAAGGGGTAGAAAAACCTTAAAGGAGAACGCGATACGAATGTTGTATATGTAAAAGGTTTGATAAATTATTAGAATTATAAAGAAGCGATTCTCCTTCATATATACCTTAATGCTTCTGCAGAATTAAATCAGACTATTACTTCAATATAAAACAAGGAGAGAAAGAAAACGAATGTAATGTGAGAGCGCAGTTTTGCGGAAAATTTTCGATAAAAGAAGAGAATATATTTTATATATATATATATACAACCCAAGGCATTTGAAATCAATGCGGATGTAAGAGAGAGATTCTCGTTAAAATACTCATTTACGTTTTTAAAATTAGTTATCTAAAACATCCCAAGGTAGCGGTAAATCGTCATCAGCAACAACCGACTAATTGCACTATTGATAACCGCACCGATATTCTGTTCCGCATACAATATATGTTTACGGAATATCATATTTTTATATTATACTTTTTCTATTTTTTTCTTTCTATTTTAAAGAAGAAGCTTATTCTTAAATTTAGTTTTATGGTAAAAGAAATTTTTTTTTATCACTTACAGATCGTTTTGCAGCCTCGGAGCCTTGACGTAAAATTTCCAAAGGCGCTGGTATCGACGGTCTTCCAAGGTACCAATCCTCTCGTGGATTATAGTTATCCAGAAGCTTCAGCAACCGCGGCACATTCACGTAATTGTCATCGTCGAAATGACAGAACCATCTGTAATAAAAAAAAAAAAAAAAAATCGTTAACAAATATTCATCATTCTTCAAGTAAGCTGACAAAAATATTTTCAAAAATTCAACAGCTCAAAATTAGTAACAAAAATTATATACTAAAATTATATAAAAACATTTTCTAAAAAAAAAATTTAGAGGAAAATTGTTTTTCTCTACGAATAAGAAAATTTTGTTTAGATGTATTTCTTTAACAAGAAGAAAATAAGAGGAAAAAATCACATTAGTCCGAAAAGAATAAATAGGTATATGACTTAGCCGAGTGCGTTAAAGCATCGCGTCACAGTTGTTATATAAGACAAAATTAGAGTTAGACGTTCGAGTCCCGAGAAATAAAATTTTTTTTTCTCGATTTTTTTAATAGAAAAAAAAGTTTCACAAAAAGTAAAGCATTCCTCTAGGGAATATTAGTTTTCCCACTGGAAAATTAACAATCAACACCGTTTTTTATACAAATACTAGCAACTCCGACGGCCTTTGGCCCTAACCGTTGCTTTTTAATTTATTACAATTATCTTATTAAATATTTAATAATATGCTTAACAAAATGCAAAAAGACCTGTACTAATAGAGAAATTTTCAAACAGAAAAATTATAATCTATATATATTTGTAAAATTTGTCTAAAAATGATAATAATTGTTGAATAATTTTTTTTTAAAACTAAAAACACTTTTTTTTATAGGTTATGTTCGTTTTTGATTCATGACAGCAGCAAACATTTACAACAAATAAATGCTTTGCACGTGTATATTTATTGCATTTAAGTAAGTTATGCAAAATATATATATGGAACAATAATTAAAGGTGATTTTCATTAACCCTTTGCGTCACAGTGGGTCGCTCAGCGACCCACCTTTGGTTTCTCACTATATTACAATTATATTTCATATGAATTCGCTTGAAAATCGTTACTCGGGGGTTTTCGGGGTCGCTGATTACGAATCTGACTTTAGTTTTTAAAAATTCAAAATGGCCGATCCAATATGGGGGACATAAAGTTGAAAATTGACTGAATTCGCTTGAAAATCATTACTCGGGGGTTTTCGGGGTCGCTAAATACGAATCCGATGTCAGTTTTTTTAATTTCAAAATGGCAAATCCAATATGGCGGACGAAAAAATAAAAAGTCAACGCATTCGCTTAAAACTCGTTACTCTGGGGTTTTCGGGGTCGCTGATTACGAATCTGATGTCAGTTTTTAAAAAATCAAAATGGCGGATCCAATATGGCGGACATGAAGTTGAAAATTTACTGAATTCGATTGAAAATCGGTACCGGGGGTTTTTCAGGGTCGCTGAATACGAATCTGATGTCAGTTTTAAAAAATTCAAAATGGCGGATCCAATATGGCGGACATGAAAACTAAAAATTGACTGAATTTTTTTGAAAATCGATACTCGGGGGTTTTTGGGGTCGCTGAATACGAATCTGATGTCAGTTTTCAAAAATTCAAAATGGCGGATCCAATATGGCGGACATAAAAAATTAAAAATTGGCTGAATTTCTTTGAAAATTGACACTCGGGGGTTTTCAGGGTTGCTGAATACGAATCTGATGTCAGTTTTTCAAAATTTAAAATGGCGGTTCCAATATGGCGGACTTTGAGTTGACTTTTCGAAAATAATAATTTCATTTTTTTTATCTATCCTGCTCTCAGCGTTACCCAGAACCAACGACGTAGACGTGGCAAGATTTTGGTTCCACCTTGTTTTTTTTTTATTTATTTTTTTTTTTTATTTTTATAAATTTTTTTTTTATATTTTTATTTATTTTTATATTTAAATGAATATTGATTTAAATGCTTTGAAAGGCAAAGTTTTTTTTACATTCGATTTTTTCAACCATCGAGATATTTCGATACATTTTTATGTGCTTAGTATGCATTGTCTTTTTTAAGAAAGAAAAACTGATAAATATAATTCAATTATACTGATAATATAATATAATTTTTCAATACCAGAAGCTGAAATAAGAATCATTAAATACATACTCATTATAACATATGAACTTAAATAAAATTTCATTTCCCTTGACAATAAATTCTGATCCGTATATAATAATACCACACATATACACAGTAGATTAATTTCTCGTGAGCGCAATTTAATTTGACTTTCTCTCGTTTATATTATGGTAAAACGTGACTAGTATACTGACAGGGGTTTCAGAGTTCATAAAACAAGATGAAATAACGTCGTCTACATCAATACTCGATCGGTAATTCTCACCTTGTAAAAGTTTCATTTTCGAGTTTCGTTTTTTTTTTTTTCTTATTCTTTTACTTTCTTTGTCAGTAATGACTCTCGCCGGGAAAGGGCATGGCGAAGGTAATAAAGTCAAGCACTAAAATCACACCGGGTTGCAAAATGAAATGACCACATGCTTGCGTTTTTCGCTGTTAATATCTGAACAGGTCCACGGGTGGTCGCGGATTATTTGTGTGTTATACATATATGCCTGTTTCACTCTTCTGACATCGTTAATATACCTGAAATTCCACCTTAATGGCACGATCAAGGTACACATATATATGTTTTTTGTCTTTATATATATATATATATGCAAAATTATATCTTTACGATGTCCTTAGATAGCCATAGAGGAGAATGACATACACGACGGTTTGTGATAATAATTAAACAGATTCTGATACGCGGTATTAATTAGTAAAAATACCCAGTTTTTTTTTTTTGCTATGAATTACATTTTATTTTTTATTTTAAATTTTAATTTAACTTTCTGAAAAAGTGAACTTTGAATATTTGAAGCCTTTTTGAAATGTACAAAAAAAATTTGCATCAAGTGCATATGGTGTGCAGTTTATACCCTGAAATTTACATAAATAACGTGCCAACTCAACTGTTCATGAACTTAACAGCTGCACGTGCAATTTAACATTAATTAAGGTACAACAAAATTTCAGTTATCAAGGTACTTAGGCAAAATTATATTTTAAAACCACTTCTGAATTAAAGGCAAACAAGAAAATGAAATTTAAATTCGTAAATATTATTTTTCAATAAAAAAAATTGAATATAATTTAGAAATATAATTAATATTCTAAATTTATTTTCTCAAGGACAAAAATTAATTTAAAAAAATGGAAAATAGTTAAAATAATAATATAGAAGAAAACAATTGAAAGAAAATAGTTTTAAAAAATTGAAAGTGAAAACTTGCTTTTAACCCCTTTTTTCTTTTTTTCTGCCTTCTTCATCGTTCTCATCGGTTTTTAAGAGGGTAATTTTTGTTGCCTACCACTTTTTTAAATGGGCGCGGCTTTTTTCCAAGGCGCATAAACGAGAGAGAGAGGTAACACAGACTATTGAACCAATTTACAAGTTTTCAATAAGTAATAAAAAATGTGCAAAAATTGGACGGTTTTTAAAAAAAAAAAAACGTGAAAGAAATTTTACATTACGAAGAGAATTGCTTTCCAGGAATATTTTAAACGAGAGACAGAGAGAGGAGAGAGAGTAAGCGTCAGCTGGATGATGTTTAACTTGAAGGAAAAATGCAAATGGGAGCACATACCCTCTCTCGCACAGTGGTTTATTATGCGTAAAGGGAAGCGCGCCATCTTTTCATTTTACAACGCAATTTTAGTGCGATAAATACATATATCCACTTCGTTTATGGTTCGTAATGCTCAAGTAACTCGATGCGAAAATGCATTTATTAATTTAAGTAACAGCATAATAATGTAGACAATGATATAAATAATCTCTTAAAAAAAATATATTTCATCAAGGTTGTTAGAGCTATTTTTCACCTGCTTTAATATTCACATTAACGAGACGTTTAAAAACAATAATGTTCTCTCTACTTTTCTACAAAAAAAAAAAATTGAAGAATATTCTTTTCCATTAAGAAGGGAAATTGTAAACTAAAAAAAATCTTATTTCTCCATATAAATTATGCAAATGTGCAATAAAATGAAATTGTTAACAAACAAAAAATAATGATAAATGAGGCCTAGAGTATAAATATCGAATTTTGAAATATAATATGTGCATATTCAATATTGTGTATATCATTGACATGTGTGCTAAAAAAAAGGTGTTTCAAAATAAACCGCGGATACTATTGCGTAAAGTAAATCATTAATCACTCAAGTTTCAGACGTTCATCAAATAATATGATTGATAATGATAAATAGAGCCAGATGATGACCGAGTCCTGCTTGAAAGCAGATACAATGAAACTCTTCATCAATAACACAATCTTTGATACTTCCAATCAAAAAACTTCAAAATTAGCTACGTCAATCGACGCTTAAAAAAAACAAATATACAAAAATCCAATCAGTCTTCAGGAGAATTAAAAATGTAATAATATTGACTTAATAATATATTACAATTATACAATACTAACAATAAAAATTATTATTTTATTATTATACTATAATAGTTATTATTTTTATTACTAAACTGTAATAATAAATTATTATTCAACAATAAAAAAAAATAATTCTACATTTTTCTAAAATTATTATTATTATTGTATTGATTGAAATAAAAAGAGGAGAAAAAAAATAAAAGTTTCGCTTGAAAATTAAATTTCCTGGTCAGTGAGAGAGAATAATAAAAGCGCATGAAAGAGAAAAGGATTACTAAAGTAGTTATACGTGTATATATATAGGTGGATGAGAGTAAATGAGGAGTAGTTAAACCACTAAGCAGTCGCGGGAGTGAAGTTAATTGCTATTATGGGTGTCTGCATGACGTATGAGATATATAAAAGAGAGCCGGATGTGCAAACTTAACCGAATTATATTTTTTATGACGCGTCTGCCCACACTCAATGTTCGCAAATACCATGGGAGCATCGAAGCCCTTCTTCCTTGTTCTTTAAAAAAAAAAAGAAAGAAAAATAATCTTGATGCTCAATTAAGCGTGAAAGCAAGAAAAATATAGTTTTAGACAAAAAACAATCACAAGGCCAAAAAAAAAAACTGAAATTAAACTCGAAAAACACAAAT